ACTCATAGCAACGTTATATAGGATTTCCCAGGCTGTAGATTTTTATGGGAGCAGGAAGCCTGCTCACCTTTCTCCTAATGTTAAGTGATGTTGAGTCAGTTCTGATTCATAACGAGCAACCCTATATAGGGTTTCTGAGCAGCAGCTGGCAGGTTTGAACTGCTGACATTTTAGTTACCAGTCCAGTACTGATTCTACAGGGTCACACCAGAACTCCTTTCTCCTGATTGTTGTTGACATTAAGTGCCGTCGAGTCGGTTCTGACTCATCACAACCCTGTATATGGTTTCTGAGGAGTGGCTGGTGAGCACGAACCACCGACCTTGCAGTTCAAACTGACTTTGCAGTCCAACGCATTAACCCATAGTCCATACCAGGACTCCTTTCTCTCTCAGTAGTGCCTGGGAACCAGTGGAAATCTTGCTGAATTGTAGATTCAGGCTAAGCAGGGCTGGGTAGGGCCCGAGAGTGCATTCCTAACAGTTCCTGTTAGGAGCTAGCGTTTCTGGTACACACACTCCCCTCTAAGGCAAGATGGGCGAAAGGATGGCAGTGCCCATAAAGCTGGACTGGACACTCATCCTCTCTCCTTTATGTCTGTGTTTTCATGGGGGCTGGGGAAACACCATTTTCTTTCAGGTAAGAAGAGGTGGGCCTTACAGACTTGGCAGAGTACGAATTAGTTGGTCCCTTGAAATGGGAGGCTCTGAGGGAGGGTCCGAGAAATTATCTCTGGAAGTAGAGGAACTGTGTTCTCAGCAAGGCACAGCTCCTGCCCACCACAGAAGACTCTGCCAGTCACGACCATCCCCGGCCTGGTTTCTGCAAGTCCCTGGCCGCCATGCTCAATACTGGTGACTCAGCTTTCCCATCTGTATAATGGGAGGAGATGGCTTTTGCCTCTTCCCCACCCATCCAGGGACAAAAAGCCCCCAGCTTCCCAGCTGCCTGCCCCTCAGTTGCATCGGAGTCAGATCTGGAAAGCCAGCGGCCTGCTCTAGTAGCCATCCTGGCTCCTGTTTTCACTGTTTATAAATCTCTGTTTGTGGCAACACAATTAGAAAATCATTACAAAACTCGATGATATTGAATAAAGGCTTACTGTTACAGCTCCTGTGGGAGGCATTAGCCGCTTCTGTGGAGTGGCCTAAAAAGGCCACTTAATGCATACATTGAGCCAGCAAGCTGGTCTGTGGGCAGAGTGAGTCGATACTAAGCCAGGCCAGGGGAGCTGTCCGCGGGCTATAGAGAGTCCGGGCTGTATTTTCAAGGTGAAGAAGTGTCTGGAAGCATCTGGCCGGCTTACAGCAGACTCCCAAAATGCTGCCAAGTGCAGTGTTTGCAGAAATCGATGTTTGGATGTGGCCCCAGCAGAGGAGAGGGATGCTCAGTCATCTGGAGGCCCAGGCTGGCCTGGAGAGAAGGGTTGCATTCAAACCTCAGTCTCGTGTGGTTGTTGCCAGGGCTCTGGGATGGGGCGGTCTGAAGGCCCCTGGCATGAGGAGACCTAGCGCTTCACTCAGTTCCCTAGGGTCTGGGGGGATCCCCAGGAGCCCCTGTGGCTCCCCTGGGAGACCCCTGGCCTCTGTCGCCCATGCTGTGAAGGTGGTGGGGCTGCAGAGATGGATCCCTGGCTCCCACCTTGCCTAGAAAAAGACATCTGGAAGAATTAGTTGCTGGCTCGAGTGACTAAGAGACTGGGCTCTGCAGATGGATAACCACGCTTTGGGGTTCAAATCCAAGCCTTGACAAGGAGGTGACGGCCTGTTTCTCTTAAGCTCCGTTTCTCCCAAGCCAGATGCCCATGGTTTTGGCTCTTCCGTCTCAGAGGACTGTTGTGAGCATTCCGATCTCAACGCTACGCTCAGCGCAGGCCTGGCCCCTTCCTCCGTCTTGCACTCACTGTATCTCTAATTAAACGTTAAGTGAAAACACCGTCGAGTCAGTTCTGACTCATAGTAACCCTCTATAGGGTTTCTGAGGCTGTAAATCTTCATAGAAGCAGAAAGCCTCATCTTTCTCCCCAGGAGTGGCTGGTGGGCTCAAACCATCAACCTTGTGGTTTATGTTGTTATATGCTGTGGAGTTGGTTCCCACTCATAACGACCCTGCACAGGGTTTCTGACGCTATAAATCTTTACGGGAGCAGAAAGCCTCATCTTTCTCCTGTGGAACAGCTGGTAGTTTCGAACTGCCAACCTTGAGGTTAGCAGCCCAATATGTAACCACCATGCTACCAGAGTTCCTGGTACTTATCTGTAGGATAAGTCCAGTGCTTATCCTACAGAGCCAGTGCACTTCCTATAAATATTGGCATGTCCATATATATATCAAAAGGTCTACATACATAGAGATAGATAGCAAAGAGATACATATATATTAAGATCTATACCATATTTTCCCATCTAATGTACCCATGTAAATACATACTAATGCAGGAGAGAGGGTTACCGTTTGCAAAAAAAAAAAACAAAAAAAACCCAAAAACCCAAAACCAAAGCCCTTACAATGCGTGTGCTATTTGCATAAAAATGTGGTAGTTATATCATTATGTATCTCTGTATAGAGAGACACAGGTATATTAAGATTATCAATGTTTAGAGGTATATGTTGTTAAGTCCTGTGGAGCTGGTTCCAACTCATAGTGACCCTGTATAGGGTTTCCAAAGCTGTAAATCTTCATGGGAGCAGAAAGCCTCATTGTTCTCCCCAGAAGTAGCTGGTGGGCTCGAACCACTGACCTTGTGGTTTAATAGTCCAGTGCTTGATCTACAGAGCCACTGCACTCCCTGTAATTAAGGATATATCCATATCAAGGATGTGGATAATTACTCCCTGTAATTAAGGATATATACATATCAAGGTATCTGTGTTGTTGTTAAGTGCCGTCAAGTCAATTCCGACCCATACTGACCCTGTACACGGTTTCCGAGGCTGAAAATCTTTACAGGAGCAGAAAGCCTCATCTTTCTCCTGTGGAGCAGTTGGTCATTTCGAACTGCTGACCTTAAGGTATCCACTACGCTACCAGAGCTCGTTAAGGTATCTATGTACAGAGGTATATATCAAAGAGATACATGTTTATCAAGATGTATTTTGTATCTTCACGTCTAATATTGCCTCATAAATAAGATGCCACATAAATAAATATTAATGTAGGAGAGAGTTGTAATTTGCAAAAAGCAAACAAACAAAAATATATCATACATGTGCTAGTTGCATAAAAATATGGTAGCTGTAAGTAACTCTGGTAGCGTAGTGGTTACAAGTCAGACTGCTAACCTTAAGGTCAGCAGTTTGAAACTACCAGCTGTTCTGTGGGAGAAAGATGAGGCTTTTTATTTGCATAAAGATTTACAACCTCGGAAACCCTATGCAGGGTTGCTGTGAGTCAGAACTGATGCCAGAGCATGTAACCAACCAACCAATCAACAGTCGTTGTATTGAGATGTATCTGTGTATAGAGAGACAGCTATATTAAGATTATCAGTGTTTACAGATGCATACTGTTGGTATTAAGTGCCATCGAGTCAGTTCTAACTCATAGTGACCCTGTATAGCAGCTGGTGGGCTTAACTGACCTATAGTTTCCTAGGAGCAGCTGGTGGGTTTAACTGACCTTGTAATTAGCTGTTCAGTGTTTATCTTATAGCGCCTCACCAAGACTCCTAGAGATACATTGTTGTTGTTAAGTGCCGTCGAATCAGTGCTGACCCACAGTGACCCTGTATGGGATTTCCAAGGAGCGGCTGGTGAGTTTGAACCACCAACCTTGTGATTCAAACCAACCTTGTGGTTGAGTGCTAATTCTACAGCACCACATAGCTATATAGATTGGTCTGCATATCTAGATAGAGTTATATTGTGATTTCTAGCTAGCTACCATTACCTGCCTCTCTATTGCAGTCACTTTCTATTAAGCCCTAGGCACTGTGCCCAGCCCCAGACTTTCACCAGCACACAAGCGTAGCCTCTCCCTCTGGGGCCCTTACCCTGTGGGGGAGAGCAGAAAGACAAACCAATACAGGTGTACATGTTGTTAAGTGCTGTTGAGTCAATTGTGACGCATACTGACCCTGTATGGGGTTCCCGAGGCTGCAAATCTTGTTGGGAACAGAAAGCCTCATTGTTCTCCCATGGAGCTGCTGGTGGGTTCGAACTGCCAACCTTACAGTTCACACAGTCTAGTGTTTATTCTGCAGAACCGTCACGTTCCCCAAAAGCTATATTATAGGTATGGTGTGTCCATACACGAGCAGCTCAGCAAGGTGATGCAGGTAAAGGAGACAGGGATGGGGTGGGTGTGGTTGAGGAAGCTTCTCTGAGGAGTGATGTTTGAGTAGAAACCTGCAAGAAGTGAGGGCAGGAGCCAGGAGGGCACAGGGGCAGTGCCTTCTAACTTAAGGGGGCAGCAGGTGCAAAGTTTCCAAAGTGGGAGCAGCGCTGGGTGTGGTGTGCTTGAAAGAGAGTGGAGAGGCCAGAATGGGCAAGGGGAGTTCCAGAAACGGGGTCAAAGAGGTCAGGGGGCAGGCCATGGTATCAGGAAGACCAAGTCAAGGATTGCACACGAATTGTAAATCTGTCTGAAGACCAGGAACCAGGTCTAGGCATTGAAATGTTCATCCCTTCGAGTTTTGTTGACAGTCAGATACAGGATGAGAAGGTATCCCCAATTAAAGGCACTCTCTGGTGAAAAGATTGACTTCCCAATTCCTTTATTAAAAGAATAAAGAAAATAATACTTTCTTGCCCACATATTCCTTCCTGTTAAAAGAGGCTCCAAGCTTTGATTCAGAAGGCAGCATGGTGGTAGAATTGCTGCAGGGACTGAGGCTGTTTTCTCAAGAACAGATTTGTAGAGCCTTGGGATATCCGTGACACTAGGGTGCTAAAGGTGGGCTGGCTGGGGGCGTAGCATGTCACCATAAAATGAGCTGCATTTTCCCAGGAGTGTCCCATACCTCTTCTCATCACAGAACTTCTCTTTATCTCCCCCTCAGCCCAGCGGTCTGCTCATGAGCTGCCCATGGTTGAGAGACAAGACATCGATAGCTGCCTGGTCTACGGGGGTCAGCAGATGATCCTCACGGGGCAAAACTTCACGGCCGAGTCCAAAGTCATGTTTACTGAGAAGACCACAGGTCAGGCTGCCTTTTAAGCTCTTTATCTTGTACTCTGGAGTGGTACAAAGGTGAATATGTGCTCTCTTCTGAACCAACTGCATTGATTGGGAAGTAGATTGTGTTGTGTGGAGTTTTTATACACTATTTTCAGTGGGAACCGACTTGACCGACTCGACAACACTTAACAATTTTCAGTCATGGTGGGTTGTCTCCCATATCTTCAGGGAGACAGTCTAGCATGCTAGGAATGATCCATTGAATGGATTTTTACCAATTCTGTGCTTGTGTTATTGGGTTTAAAACTTGCTCCCTCTTTATACTCTTGCTTTAAAATTATTTTTTTTCCTGTAGAGAAGCAAATTTTGGGCTATTTTCAAGAAAAGAAGCTGGGCAGCTTGTTGATTAAGTGTGTTCTGACCCTGGAATCCTGGCTTTACATTCTAGCTCTGCTTGCTCTGTGATGTTAGGTCAGTTACCTAACCTCTCTGTGCTTCCAGTTCCTCAAGTATAACATGGTAATAGCAAAAGTTCTTGGCTTGTTGTATGACCGCTGAGGTTAAGTGAGCTAATACTTGTTGAATAATATTAAGTAGCTGGTACATCATAAGCATTCATTCAATAAACATTGGCTACTTAAAACATTTTTTTATTGATGATTAGTACGACAATTACTTATCTTATTATTACTTTTTTTTAAAACCCTTTAATGAACTTTTAGGGTTAATTCATCTTGAAGTTGCACTGCAGGATAAGCCCTATAGGATACCGCTAAACCATCAGGTCAGCAGTTCAAACCCACTGTTTAGAAACCCTATGCAGGGTAGCTAGGAGGCACTTAACAACAACAACAAATTAATCATGTAACACATGAATCTCTATGGGTAGCTTTTTAATTGTTTTTTTGGGGTTGATGCCTCGCAGTGTAATTTTGGATAGTCAGTTTGAAGACTTTAAATTCATAGTACTCAATGATCTTCATGGAATCTGTAAGTGAATGTCTCCATCAATCAATACCTTGTCATGAATCATCCTGTCCCTCCCAGAAGCACCATTTTGTCAAAAAACCCAACAGAACCTTTGATGAGTTGGTAACTTCTTTATTACTTTGCATTTCTTTGCTGTGAGAATTTAATGGTTTTGTTTGTTTGTTTGTCGTCTTCCTTTCATTCACTGTCTGCTCAGGTGCTTTGCCAGTGGGGACTGGTAAAAAAACAACAACCAGGTTATGTAATTTGTAATTCTTTGATTGATGATTTGGTAGACCAAGGTTTTGTTTACTTCCTTTTTTCTAATGGATGTCATCAATGGGTCTTTTGAAGGGGGTTAGTGATGGTTGCCTGTGTTTTGTTTACTGTCCTTAGACTGACTTGGAGATTGTAACAGGCAGGGGGGATCGTGCACTGCACAAAAGCTGTTCCATGCAAACTGGATACCGCATCCATCTGCAGATGTCTAGACGATGCTCTGGCAGATGGAAGCGGAGTGTCACGGGCAGGGCAGGGGATGCTTCATCCAGTTCATACATAGGCCCATGCAGGGCTGGCCTGGCTTAATCAGCATGTGGGAACTGCTTTCTCATGCTTTGAAAGCTTGCCAGGTGACAGGGTTTTCCTTAAGGAGGGTTGACGATGTTGTAGCAAAAAGTCACTAAGCAAAGGTGAGAGGGTTCGAAGTGAGAAAAAGGACCAGTCATTGAGGGTTTTGATGGCTGTGGTGAAGCTGTAAAGAGATAGGACAGTAGAGTGTGGGGCCAGCCAGCCAGCCAGGTTTCCCAACCCACTTCTGCTGCTTACCTGCAGACGGTGTACAACAGGAACAGGGACAGTGCCAACCTCTCCAGGTGAGGTTTGAATGCGTTGAGGCAAGTAGAACTGTATGCCATAGTGAATACCTGGGTAAGGCAGAAACATGTCAAAGAAGGAAAAGTCAAATATGCAAAGTGGTAAGACTGCAGCCATTCAAAGGTGGAAAACTTGAGCGATATGGAAAAGCAAGGCAGCCTGGTGGAATCCTGGTCTCATGGGTTTCACTGTGTTGTTTGTAATTGTTATTTCCTAGGGTTACAGCCTGGGTTTTAATGTTCTTGATAGACTTGAGGGCAGGTTATTTTTAAGCTGGGAGAATATTTAGAAAAAATATTCTCTACAGCAAGAATTGGATGAACTTTTATGAAAGGCAGAGAGCAAAAGGATGTGGCTACAGTAGAGACTTGTTAGCCCTGGGAAGTATGTTTGGTGGACGAGAGGCCTAGGGCCAGAACAGAGAGGTTTCCCAGTGCCACGCAGAGACATGGTCGTGTTTGGTCTGCACATGGGTAAGGTAACAGGGAGTCATGGTGGATCCTTGAGTGAGGGAGTGGCATGAAATGTCAATGATCAAGTAAGCATAGCCTCTCCTGCTTTGATGAATCTCCAGCACTAGGAAACAAGCCTGCAGGCCTTATGCTAACTTTCAGAAGAGGCATATGGCTTCCAAGCGCCTGGTTGGCAAATGAGGAAAAGCTAATAAGACACACTCGCCATTATGACTTATCTCCATAGCGCTGCATTAAATTCTTCTGAATTACGAATTTTCTATGAATAATTTCATGTGCATGTGAGTCACCCTTCAGCATCTCCAGGCGGCTGTGAGATTAAAAACTGTTTCTGTCCTCTGGCAGAAGAGATTCAGCTTTAGGGGTCAAGCTGATGCCATCCACCTGCCTCTTGGGTCAGGAAGTGACCCCTGAACAAGAGAGCTGGGTCTGCAGTGTGCATGACTGGATTAATCAGACCCCAACGTTATTAAGCAGAGAAGGGAGCTGGCAAACTGTCTTGTATGTCTGAAAGGCCAGAGGTGATGGAGTGCCCTCACCACAGGACCTGCATCTGAACAGTGGGTCTGTCACATCGGAGTAACTGAGTCCCCACTGTGGGCTGGTGGAGTGAAGCAGGGGAGAGTTCAGAGGTCAGGCCTTACCAAGTTCCTGGGGGAATTAGGAGCTAGCCGGCCCTCAGCCTTTCTGGGAGCTCAATCATCTTGGAAGCTACTCAAGGATATCAGTGAAGTATTTGCTGAATGAATGAATGGACAAATGAACTGATGAACAGCATGTATTTTCCAGCTTCTCTTGGTTTCATGTTTGTCTCACGAGGGGAGGAAAACAGAGCTTGCTTCGCCTTTGAAAAGTAGAATGTTAACCAGAAAAGTAAGGATAAAACTTCCCTGTTACTGAGCACCACCCCTGGGCGGGCCCTTTGCTGGCCCAGGTGCACATATGGTATAATTTCACGTGGCGCTGTGGATCAGCACTGGACTGTGAACCACAAAACCAGCTGTTCAAACCCACCAGCTGGTCCTCGGAAACCCGATTCAGGGTCGCTATGAATCAGAAACCAACTCGATGGCATTTAACACAACAACAACAACAACCCTCTCCACACCCATGGGCGACAGACAGTCAAGCAGGAGAAGTCCAGGGATTTGCCAATAGATCATGTCTGATGTTGTCCCATTGTCCACCCTTCATGGGTCTCAGTCTTCCCCTCTTTAAGATGGAGATAATAGAAGGTCTTCCCTCCTCCAGTGGGATGCAGATGTGAGAACTGTGCAGTTAGCTTGTGATAATTGTATGATTGCTCCAGTCTTACTGAGTTCTAAGCATGATAAGTATTCGCTTGGCACACACTGCCCCAGGGATTGTGCTTGGCAGGCATTGGGAAGCCGTCCATAGTGGTGGCTGTAAGCACAGGCTATGGATCAGATGACTTGGGTTCGAATCCCTGGGCTGCCACTTAGGAGCTGTGCCACCTTGGACAAGTGGCTTCATTTTTCTGAGCCAACATGGTCTCGTTTATAAAGTGTTACTGATAGCATCTGCTTCATTTGGAGAAGGGGCGTGGGTGGAGCCCCCCTGCTAACCAGCAGGGCTCATAGGAGACAGAGCTGGTGATGTACTCCCGTAATAACCGTGTCCTGCATATAGGGCCATGCTGTTTTGTCACAAGGAGCCACGGACGTCAAACTTGGACTTGAAGGCACCAAACCACAATAGCAACAGTTTCTCCTGGGCAAGTGGACAGATTCCATGAGGTCACATGGGTTAGGCCTCGGCACATTATTACTGCTCATCTGGTTATCCTCCGTTATTACCATTACATGGGGCTGTGGAAGGACAGAGTTGTACCTCATGCAACCGAGAGACACTGAGCAAACAATAAATAATAATAGTAAACCATGGGCCAGACATTGTTATAAGCACTTAAATGTGTTAACCTATTTTGATTCCTCTTGATGGTCATATATAAGGCAGGCTACTGTTCTCCTGGTTTTACTGATAAAGCCCACTAAGAGGTTAGTGACTTAGTGAAAAATCACACAGCTAGTAAGTGGCAGTGTTAGGCAGTCAGGCTGACTCCAAAGTCTGCACCCTCAATCCTTAGCCTTAAGGTCTTACTGTGAAAAAGCTTCAAGCTGGGTTATTTTGCCCATAGACCTTTCAGTGGCTCGGAGCCATTGATGAGAACCTTTTGCCAGAGATGCAGACATTGGAATTTCTAGTGTGTTACTGAGGCCAAGAGGATGTATTTCAACCCTTTCATGTCCAGCTAAACCCAATGGGACAAATGCTCGGGGATAGCAGACAAGCCAAGGAATCCGAGGGTACCACTGGTGGGCATCCCCAGGTGGTGTCTGCTCTTGGAGGGGCTTGCCTGGGGTTTGTAGGGAGCTTGTTGTGCTTTTTGACCCTAAGGACTTACCTCCCAGCCCGGGGGCCACCTTCTGCAGGGGGAATCCCTGTTGCTCAACATTTTTTTTCCAAAACGTATCCCCGTTGCCATCTCCAAGGACAATTGGGCCTGCAAGGGCGCCACAGGGCGGGGTGGAGTGGAACAGCTGAAGGTTTCCAAGGAAGGGGAATCCCAGCTGGTTCTTGCATTAAGGCAAGGTGACAGCCTCCTTGGCTAATCTTAGCCCCCGCGTTTGGTCATCAGCACCACCGGCTCCAACGTTCTTTTTATAGCCGTGGACTAAAATGG